GGATCATCACCTTTTTGTTCACATGAATTTTTTAATTTTGTAAACCAAGGAACAACTAAATGAAGAGTAGGTGTTGTATCAGCAGATAATTGTTCACTAGCAGTTTTGAATAATGATAAAAATTTAACTAGAGCTAGTATTAATTTACGATCAATATCATCCAAATAATACGTTTCATTTCGATCAAGTAGAAGATCTTCACATTTTTGATAACTTATCGATATGGATTCCATCATGTCATGAATTGAGTTCCAACGTGTTTCAACGTTCAATTTTAAACTTGTAGACAACAATTGATTCATTTCACACCTTTTAAAATGCGTACATAAACCTTGACAAGATTTAATTAATAATTCCAAACTTGGACATAAATCAACACCATTATGTAAAGCCAAATTAAGACAGTGACAAATACACCGAAGATGCACCTCACCTTCTAAAAAAAACCATAAAAAAAGAAAATAGTATAGTAAGAAACTTACGTAAACCACAAATAAGATTTGAACCATTGTCAGTGATATAAACAATATGATAATTATATGGATCAATGTCATAATTAGATAATACTGAAAAAATTTTTTTTCTTGTATTTTCACCAGTTTTTGATTGGTCAAATAAAGAAGTACGTAACATATATGTGACTAATTGTTCATTTTTTGAATAATGAATATTTATTGTTAGATAATTTTCACCAGTACCAGAATTTTTCCAATAATCTGTGGATACTCCTACAAGTTTAACTTCTTGTAAATCTTTCTTCAGAATATCCTTTAATTTTTCTCGATACTCTTCAGCTAATTGAGCAACAGTACGAGAAATATTTGTTGGATCAGGTAATAATGAATTTGCTGAAGGTACACCAAGTTTAGCTGAACCATATTGATAACCAAGATTAAGTAAACTTTGACAAAAAGACGTGAAACCGGAGCCTTTAACAATATTGAAAGATCTAAGATCAAATGAACAAAATTTGGCACAAGCAACTGTAATAGATCTTTTATCATTTACAGTTACATTAACTTCTGTAGATTTTGATAAAAAATCATCAAGAATTTTGTTGTTCTTTGGTTTACTTAATTTATTGAGACAATTTTTAACATGATTACTAATTGTAGAAGTTCCATTTGCTATTGAATATGCTAATATATCATGACATAACTGGCATTGAACAAATGGTTGATATTCATTGTTAGAAGACTTGATTCGAAATAAGTGTTCCCAAAACATACCGTGTGATGATGATGGTGCTTCTGCTTTAGCAATAAATTCACCTCTTTTAAGTTTTTCTATCACCTCTTTCTTGTTCAATTCAATATTTTTCTTTGAATTCGACATCAAATATATTTTAGAAACACATAAACCAAGATGATATTTATAATGACTTTAGGTATTAATGATGATAGTTAAAACGAAAACAATTATTTAAATCTTAATACTAGAAAATTGTATGTACAACTAAACAGGCTTATATGTAGAGGATACACTAGCGACATATGAGATTGTTGAATACTATTACAACCAATCACATTCAGTTATCAGTTCTTTTCTTTAACTTGATGTTGTTTTACACTTCGATATTCTCATTCGTGTAAAATTTTTCAAAAGATGTCTATAATATTTGATTCGATCAATTAATAGCAGGTTAACAGGTTATGACAGTGTTACCCTGTAACCTGCCCTGTAAAAATTTCGTAACCTGGCCCTGCCCTGCCCTGCCCTGCCCTGGCAGGGCAGGGCAGGGCAGGGCAGGTTACGTGCACCCTGCAGGGCTCTAGTGGTAGTCGTATTATTCTTGTGTGTATATAATAAACGTGTTTCTGAATATTCTTTTCGTTTGAGTAATATAATCTTCTTTCTTTTATCTCTTTTTTTTTTTCTTATAGCCAGTACTTCTCTTTGTATAAAGAGCTTGAATAATCTAGACACCGCTCTTTTCATATACATTAATCAAAAATTTCTTGAAGAGATATGAGAGAGAAAAGACAAAGAATCCAGACTCAAACAACAAAAGTATAGAAAGAAGAAGCGTCAACAACATTACCATTTTAATGAAGCATCTTTATCTCTTGAAGAACTGTTAACCTTTATAAAAAGAAAGACATTGATGTTAGCGAATAACAGGAACAGGAGCACTGCCAACAGAGAGAGAAAAAGGAAGATTCAATGCGTCATTTAATTGATCTTACTGTAAGTTATTGACACTTGTTTTTGCCTGGCAACAAAGCTTTCTCTTTTTTTTTTTTGTTATTCCCGTAAGGGTAGATGTAATCAACGTTATTTTGTGAAATCCGCAATAATGACGAGATTCTGACGAGTAAATTTGGAATAACTATATCGTCCACTTACAAATTTTCAATTCTATCTTCTATCGTGAAATCATCTGGCGATAAACCAATGCTATTTTGAGATGAAATGCACTATGACAAGATTATCTAGTATATTCACATTTTGGAGCGTTTATAAATTTTATTTTTTCGGTTGCTTACGGTGAGAATTGACAAAGTATAGTTATTTTCATTGAAAAAAATTACAAACAAAAAAATAGATCACTTCCAATCAAAATTGTAAAAAGAAATTCAACTCTAGAGCTAGGAATGGTAGGTATGTATGTGAGATTTAGATCCCATCTCTCCACATCCACACCCACACCCTGTAAGCAACTATATTCTTTTTCTTCTACTGGTCTTCAATAATACATTTCAATATTCAATGTCGCACTCAAGTAAAGGAAGACAGAATTAAATCAAATGAAGAATAGAAATAAATTTAACACTCACACAATATGGTATATTATATTTATGTATTTCAAGAATATTCTTGCTCTGCGATGTGAAGTGGCATACTAATGATGTCTCCTGTCTTGCAGACGAATAAGTCAAACACTTGAACAGAGGAAAACAAAAGAACATAAAACAATATAATACCTAGCATCATAATAAAAAGAAAAAAAAACACACAACACAACCACAGCATAAGTTCTAGCCGTCTGATATAATAAAACTGAAAATAAAAGTTAAGTTCAGTATCTGAATAGACTGACAATTAGAAAAATAGAGTATAAAGTATGTACGTATAATTGTGCCATTGTCGAAGCCTTACACTTCTTATCGAGAGTACGTATGATGATGAATGGCTATATTGGATCATACACCAATACCTAAGCTGTATTTTACTAAAAGTTGTTGAAGCTTGCTATATGTTGCTAGACGTTCTTCAGATGTTGCTGGTCGAATTTTATCGAGTGGTGCTTCGATATTGATTTTAGGACTTAATATATAGGTGTTTTCTAGAATTGATGAATCCAATCTTCTTGCTACAAACGTAACAACCTGATCATTTAAACCACTTGTCGAAGAAATAGAATGATACCGATCAGTATTCACATGCAGCACATTACCTGGGAAATGATGACGATATTGAATCACACGTAGGACACCGCTTGCATACAAAGGCGGAGCCAAATGATTTCCACATCTTCGAGGAAAGCAATAAGTCATTGCATCAGTATTGTCAGGAATGATCTTCCATGTTTTTTCTATATACTCACCCTCTATACAATACGTATCGAACGCATATTGATGATTGTGAATATATGTTTCGTTACAATCTGTAAACGAGTGAAATCGATATTCAGAGCTCCCCTCAGTTCCACACAGTACTTGGTACATTACTCCAGGAACTGTACGAACGTCTATATCTGACCAATTTCTTAGTACATACGTAAGCCACTTGGTGCATTGTTCCTTCATAAAAGTATTCATAGATAATATATGTAGCTATGTAGTATTTGTCAGAATGTTACAGGTTCGACCATTTTATCCATTTGGATGTACTTTTATTTCAACCACTTTGGGTTTTTTCTTCTATGGTTCAGTGGAGAAATGTTTTCTTTTTTGTCGCTGTCGACTGGGAATAAACCCAGTATGGAAGATACTCTTATGTAAACAAACAAGAAATGGTTGAATGTATTTGAGAGCGCACAATGAAGTAGCAAACGCAAAGACAGAACAGAAGAAAGATGTCTGAAACGATAAATTTCATGGAGTTGCGTACTGCCATCTGCGACATTGACGTTTATTTGTTTCTTTACATCTCCAGAAAATGATTACTTCACATACAACGCACGTTTACACACGTGAGAAGAAAGATGAAGAGAAAAGAAAACTAGGGTGTGGGTGTGGTTTATAAGGAAAGTAACAGTCGCAATCACAGACACTTCCATTCGTACCTTCTTGAACTTTAATTTCCAAAAAACGGAAAGGCAATCGAGAAGGTCAAATGAATGGTGAATCTCAAAAGCATTTGTATATGTATATATGATCCATTTAATAAATGAAGTTCTAAGAGATCTATGCTTCATATTTTCAGATTGCTTCCTTTTTTTTTAATTTTCAATTTCGTTTGCTGACACTTCAGACAATTTTCGATTTTTCCTTATCCTATTTACTTGATCTTATATCCTCTGCTATATTTCCTGAACTGTTCCCTCTACTGAAAGGAGGGTCATAAACTGAGTAAGCTATCTTCGTTCGTTCGTATGTTCGTTTGATTATAGTAACAGCTGGGTGATTCATTCCACCACGTAAAATAAACTTTGTCTCAAGGTTTTTAGGGACAAGAAATGCAAATATCCTACTAGTTTCTTAAAATTGTGTACTGATTCTTTTTTTGTAAAAAATATAGCTTTTTTACGAAAAAACTGACTTTTCCTCGACTGTAGGGAGGATCATATGATATAAAATGAGTTTGTGTGTAGGTGTGGGTGTTAGTCTTCCCTTTTATACCTATCCACACCCACACTCACACCGATACCCACACCCATAATAGCAAATAAGAGAGAAACTATCACGTACGTGAGCAAAATGCTTAAAATAATGATGATCACATTCCGCAATGTGTAAAAAAACACAAAAATAGTTTTAGCTAATCATTCTTTTTACTTTGTCCTCATTTGAAAGATGTTACTCTTAGTAGAACTATTTGGTATCTTACTGTTTTTGATGTTGATTAATTGTCAGTTAAATCTTTATGACACCGATTGGAAATTAAAGAATTCGTCATCGATATTTCCTTTGCAATTCGATTGCTTACATTATTTAGTACTCGACGATATCGTGATCTATGACGATACATTAAATCAACCTCGTCAAACAATTGTTTACTGTCAACGTCCAAGAGATGAAAATGATTTTTCTCCGATACTCAGTTTAGATAATATACAAGGAAAAAAGTTCGCATTTGAAGAATTGCGATCATTGAATACTACTATTCAACAATTACTCTCATGGTCAGCATCAATCGATCTTATCGAACGTTATCAAATTTTTCTTGCTAATGATAATAGTCAATTAATATCAGAAGAATTTGATTTATTTTATAATTGCAATCCACCATGGTTTGGAACTTTTTGTGAATACTATTAGAAAAAGAGCTTATAAGCTTTGTAAGGACGTGTTATGAATATTTAACTTGTACTCGAGATAACTCACCAATGAGTCTCGACTGGCGTGAAATATGTGATGGAAATATTGATTGTATTGATGAAAAATCTCTTGATGAAGCTTTTTGTTTCGTTTTGGAAATTAATGAATGTGATGATAAAAATGAATATCGTTGTCATCAAGGATAGTGTATTCCAAAAAGTCTATTTGCAGATGATCATCTTAATCCTGATTGTCTCGATCGTTCAGATGAAGTTGCTATACAAACGAATAAAAATTTTTGTCATCAAGATCCATCATTTCGATGTGAAGAACAGCATGTCGAGTTGGTCAAGGAGAATTTTCATGTGGAGATGGACAATGTATTAACGAATTTGAACGTTGTAAAAATGGTCGACGTCTCGCATTCTTTGAATCAGTAGTAAAAATGTCAGAAATTCCCATTCCCTATCAGAAATGTTTAGAAGTTATGCTTTGTTTAACAAAAGCACTTGGCTTCTATCAAGATCTGTGTGATACTGAAGTTTTGCCTGAATTCAATGGAATGTTGAATGATGTTCTCCGTCAGATTTGTCCAAAGACAGTTCAATTTCCACAGTTACCGTTACTCTTTGGACACGTTCGTCTTATGTAAACTAACAGTCAACCTTATTTCGACCCTAGTCGTGTATGAATGCCTGCTCTTATTTGTTATGATCAAAAATTTTGTGATTTTCATCCAACAACCTTCATATATGGTCTAAACTGCCGATCGAGTTCAGAAATGGGTTTTGGTTCGAATATGGTATATTGAGAATGGTATTCATTTGTATTAGCACTTAAAAAACGATTTCATTCTTATACAAGACCAATCAGTTCAACAGATGATCAAATGCGTAAAATACTCTATCAATGCACCAATTCAAAAAAACTCATTTCCAAACATCGTTTTATTGATGGAATTTCAGATTGTGTTGAGAATGATGATGAATTATATAACGCAAGTTATGCACTCAATCATACGTATCGTCGATTATGTCCCAACGAAAACAAATGTTTGTCTCCAATATTGTCACAATCTAGCTGTACTATGTACACAACAAATGAAGATCGTATTTTATCAATACCATTTCAGATGATACGTAGCAATATCCCTCAAGTGATTCCTTTACTTATTGATGGAAGAATTGAATCAGATGAGACTGATTATGGTGAACAATGGCTTTGTTCAAATATGTATACCCGTTGTGATCATTCATGGACATGTGAGAATAGAAGTGATGAAACAGGATGCTTTCATTCAACATGTTCTTCTTTCGAACATGATTGTGTTTCACCAATTAACTTAACAATGATATGTTTATCAATGAATCGAACTAATAATGATATTATCGATTGTTTCGGTGCTACTGATGAAATGACCATTTGTCGAGATAAACATCCAAATCAATTGCAAGGATTTCATTGTGCAAATAGTGATCAATGTGTTTCATGTTTATCAATGTGCTTAATTTAATACGTATAATATCAATAGAGAAGAACAATTCTTATGTAATATAAATAGAAGTTATAATCCAATTGTTCATTATTTCAAATTGGCATCACCATCTTCTACTACACATATGCAAAACAAACAAGATGTTATTTATTCAATATTAAATAGACCAGAAGAACCATTTTGGGCTTTAAAATGCAATCGTGGACTTCGTCTACGTCAATCGATTGGTTTTAATCAATTTGTTCCAATTTGTCTTTGCCCACCCTCTTACTACGGTGATCAATGTCAATATCAAAATCAACGTGTTAGTCTTACATTAAGTATTTTAACAGAAGATTTAAATACAGATTATATTTTACTTGTTATGTTGATTAACAATGACAAAGATAAACAAGAGATTCATACGTATGAAGAGATAATTCATAAATCCCAATATGATTGTCCTATAAAATACAATATTTATCTTTTATATTCATCACGACCTAAAGTCATGTCAAATAATTACAGTATACGAATTGATGTATTTACTCGAAGAAGAAATTCTATTGATTATCATGCTAGTTGGAATTTACCCATTCCATTCATCTTTTTGCTCGTTAGTCGATTGGCCACTCAAGTTAATATATCAACAAAGAAAAATAAATCGATGAAAAATTGTTCTCTCGACTGCGGTGAAGATCACAAATGTATGAGATATGTCAAAATAGAAGAATCTTTTTGTCTTTGCAAGCCAGGCTGGTGGGGCACCCAGTGTCAAACGTTCATTAATTGTAGTGATTGTTGGAATAATTCATTGTGTATTGGCTCGATAAACTCTCGTTCGATTTGCATTTGTCCTTTAAACAAATTCGGACCTTGATGTCGTCTTTCTATTGTATGTACGACAGATATTTGCAAAAATGGAGGAACATGTATTCCAATTAATGATGATAATTCAAATAATAATTTTCAATGTATTTGTACTGAACATTGTACAGGTCCAACATGTGAACAATCAAGAAGCAAATTGGAAATTTCTCTGGGCGATATCGATCAATCTTCACACATTTTTATTCATTTAATTACTGTTAATTCTAAAGCACAACCTACACGTACAACTATTGTTAAAAAGATAGGTATTGATCAACGTTTTCTTAGTCTTAGTTTAACAATTGAATTTCATCTTGCATTTGTTGAAGTAAATAATGATTATTATTTAATATATTCATCATTAAATGGTAATTTATCAACTATAAAAAATATTCATTCATCTGATCGAAGTCCATCTTATGAAGAACTTTTTAATTTAACAATGAGAAATTGCGCATCCATTACGACATGTCAAATATTATCATGATCTTTGTAATAAACGTAAAGAATTGAATTGTTATTTTGATGAAAGTTTAATGTGTTTATGTACTGATGAACGTCATGCAAATTGTTTTAAATTAAAACGATATAAATCATATTTATGTCGTCGTAATGATTATTGTATGAATAATGGAGAATGTTTTCAAGATAAACCAATATGTCCATCAACTCTTATTTGTGTTTGTTCAAATTGTTATTATGGAGATCGATGCCAATTTTATGATGAACGATTTAGTTTATCATTAGATGCTATTCTAAATTTTGAAATTAAGCGATATGTTTCATTTATTGATCAACCATTAATGGTTACAATCTGTGCAATATTAACAATGATCATGTTTATACTTAGATTTTTGAATGGATCTCTTTCAATTATAACTTTTTATGATAAGAAATTACGAGAAGTTGGATGTGGAATTTATTTACTAGGTTCATCAATTATTTCGTTATTGAAAATCAGTGTATTTGCATTGAATTTTTGGTTACTTTTTATAGTACAATCAAATTTAGTTACTGATCATTCGTTTTTACTTGCTCGATGTGTTACTATTGAACCTTTATTGAAAATACTTTTTTCAATGAATAATTGGTTAAATGCATGTCAAGTACGTTATTCACCAATTATGCAAATATTCAATTCAATTATATTAATAATTCATTTTATTATTCCATTCTCAATCAATCTAGTTTCATCAATATTTATAATAAAAAGTTCATAAACATCTTCTTATATCACCTATTGTTTTAATGTCATTAGCAATTCCTCGTTTAATTAGTTCATTTACTACAGGATGTGTTAAATCATCACGGAATCCTTGGTTGTTATATTGCATATGTACCATCAATGCTTACTTTTATTATTTATATTATACCTTCAGAACTGTTTAAAAAGGAATTTTATCAAACAATGCATCGTATTCAACAAAATTTAAGTCGAAAATAAAATATACAGTCAACAAATAATCGAATCATAAAATATTTCATACTTATAATTTATCGTTCTATCTATTCAATATCGTGAAAAACTAAGATTTTGTTTTTCTCATTTCTTCATTCATTTTGAAATAAATCAAACAAAAAATTCAAATATATTCTTTCTATCATCAGACAAAAACATTCTGTCTCCAAATTTATTTCTTAAGTGAGAATGACTTTTGAGATATCTTGTAGTCAACTGATTTGAAAATCCGTTTCTGGATCCTTCTCAGAAACAAAGAAATGAAAAGACATCTAGACGGCATTATATAATATCAATAACATTTGCATCAAACTTTATATTTAATACGAAAATTGTTTTTCTATCGGCATTCATCAACGTTCTAGTCACATGTCGTGTTTTTCTACAGTTGAAAAAGAAAACTATTATGGTAGACGACAAAATCTATGACATCCATTGTTGTTATTTCTTTTTCTCTATTGAACGAATTACATTTATTTTTCTCTCTCCCTAATTGATGATATCTTTTATCGTCACGATTAAGAGTTATATATGAGGTGGATGGTGGTTTTAAGAAAATGATATATGAGTCACACATACAGATAGTTATTGTTTGTTTCATATGACAGATGATAAAAGAAATCTGTATATGCGATATTCGAACTTGACCATCAGGGTAAACAAATCTCCTGATTTGGCTAGAAGAGTCCTGGTTTTTTTAAGCATTTCTCCTGATGAAAAAATCTCGTGGTACTAGAAGCTGTTTTTAACATTTTCTTCGAGTTTCTCTTGGTGTTTTATCACAACTCTTAGCGACATTTTTAACCAATAAGAAAAACAAAAGAAATGAGAACTACTTGTATTTCATTAATACAGCAACTATCGATAGTAAGAAAATAAATTTCTCCTGTTGCATTTTTTTTTCAAAACTAAAGTATTTAATTTCGTAAATAAATATAATCAACAGCTTGTAAAAGCATAGATAAAAGTCAAGAACACAGAGTGTAGTTCTTGAATGTCTTTGTTTGAAGAAGATGACGTTAGTGAAATACCAAATTCATTAGGACAAAATCTTCTATGTCAATCTATACTTAAATCTGTAACTAATGTTGATTCAGCATCGCTAGAAAATATTTCAAACTCCAATATTACTTCATTATCATCTGTTACAACAACTAAAAGTTATCCGTCTAAATTCAAGAAAGAATGGCTATTCAATCCAACGTATTGGTCTTTTCTAAAAGAATATAAAAATGATCCAATGAAAGCACTATACACTATTGAAGGATGTCACGGGAACGGCGAACCATCAGTCCCACCGGTCCACCATCCACTGGTGTCGCCGCATTGCCAGAGTGTTCGGTAGTTTATACACTCCTCTTGGTAACAACTGAATCGTCCGAAGATATCAGTTTTAGGAACTGACCTGCCTGAGGCTGCTGAACTATCTATAACTTTTCAAGAGCAGTGACAAGTGCGGGTGTGGGTGTGGAGTAGTGTGGATGTTCATCTTTCCTGTATACATATACACACCCATACCCTAAAATTGAAACGCAGTGACGTAGTTAGAAATTTTCCGTGTACTAGATCTCAGTTTCAGAGCATGGAGCCTAGACGAAACTTATGGAAGATCGTATTGGACCTAAATAATGAGTCTTTATGAAAAGAGTTTTGCGATTAGCGTTTGCGAAAAAAATTTGTTTTTTTTCTTTGGTTTTATTAATATTGTTTGTTTTAGGATTTCTTCATAATGTACATCGAATTTCGTCTACAACCATGTATTTATTCAGAAGTTATAATCCTTTAAATTTTGTAAAATGTTATAAAAATTTTTGGAAATATTTCAGAACGTTTTTCTTGTGTGTGTGTGTGTCATATAATTAGATGCATGTATCTTTATGTTTTCTCTTATTCATTGAATAAGAAATACAGGCATCTGATGTCATACGTGAAGTTTCTTCAATAAAACTGAAAAAATAGAAAGGTTTTCATTAATGTATGCTTTTTTTTTGAACGTAATATGGAAATTGTCTTATATATATTCAGAATGGCAGAAGATGAAAAACATTGATAATATAGACCAGAATGCAGATAAGAAATGACTTCATGTTTTGTAGAGATTATCTCAATACGAGATAAAACATTAGATATACATCGATTGATTCAAATATTATTTATCACAAGTTACTTTTAAAATAATGTCCTCATTTTGTTTTACCACCACAACATATGACTCAATAGTGTTTTTTTTTTCTTGCATATATTTTCTGTCTGAGTAGATAAACGAAAAAGCAATATATCGTGCCAATTGAATGAAATATTGATTATTCATTGGGTGATGTTTGCTCATCGGACACCATTATTTGCCATAATATCCGAAGAGAACAGAAAGAATCTTGGAAACTAATAATTTATTTTGAAGTCAAGCAGTTTTCACAGACTATGCAAAGACAAATTTCAAAATTAACTATTTAATCATAAATACCGAATCGATTCTACGTTTTTCAATTCTATTCGATATGTATGATGCAACAGCAAACACTCAATTACATGTTTTCTCTGACAAAAAGCAAAGTATATTATCATGACGCAGATTCTTTCATTGATCAATGTCGACAAAAAAAAGAAAAAACTATATATCTATGGAATTAACTCCAAAAAGTTCGTCTCTCCTTCACCAATAAATATTCATTTCCCTTAGAGAATGTTTCTGAGATAAACATAATGTTGTTTCTTCATTTAGATTCATAATTTTGGTTGATTGTTGTTATTGTGGGTGTGGGTATGTATCCAGACAGGACTAGATCCTATATCCACACCCACACCCTCGACTTTCCTCAATATACAACAAAACAGTAGACTGTGTCGAGTGTGGGTGTCATTTTGTACTTTCCACTCACACCCTCAGGAAGTATAGGTGCAAAAGTTTTGATGTTGAACTAAAGTGAGTAAATACGCCCATGTTGTAGCCCATGATCAAATTACTATGCCCATATATTTGTTGTCCGAAAACTTTTTGGGAAGAAAAATGCCCTTATCGTTCCACTTCCTTTGTATACTGTTACGGTTGAATTTCGAAACTTGAAATTTCAATTGAATTCAAATTTAAAATTTAGGAGTAAAAAACTAATGCAAATAATCGTAGTATTCTTATTTTTACACGAATTCTGAATATTTGAAAAATCGATTGCATCCCTGAGGACAAGTCAAAGGCATCCTATATTTAAAATTTGTTAGTTTGGCAATGAGACCTTTCATTTGATCCTAATATGTCTATTCATTTCAACGCACACTACAAATATCTTCATTGCTAGTAAGTTTTAACATAAATGCAGAAAAAATCATCTTGAAATTCTTTGTTTTCGTATTAAATAAGTTTTAGTTACGTTATATCAAGTCTTTTTATTTGCATGAATTCTAAAACTTTTATTTTTTTTAAATGTTCCTTTATCTATTATTCATTTGATAATTCTATTTGAATTCTAAAATCTTTGTAGTTCAACCCGTCTTTACTTCTTCGGTTTTGTTTTTGAGAAAAATATTTTGTTACTTACAAACTGTGATATGTTCACTCATATCTTACTGGTACACTATTTTCAATTGCATTACTATCAGATAATGATGGTATCAAGATCCAAACCCTAATGGATGTACTATATTTCGAAGTACTTGCAAATGATACTACTACCAATATGTCACAAAACTATTTGAGTACTTTAGTTCCTTGGATTAATTTGCGGATCTTAATCACTTGATTACAAAATGGTTAGAATGCCATAGATGTTGAGCAGTTACTTCTAAAAAGATGACAAAAGTTTGAGTCAATGTTAGTATTCAAATGATCTGAAACAATCTATAATAGAATCGATGTGAATCATTCTGCTAGCCGATTCAAAATCAATAAGACTTGAATATTAACTACGGCTCGACAGGTCCTTCTTATTCAAACTGAATAAGTTAGCAAAATTCTTCTAGGTAACAATTTTGTCTAGATTTGACAAATGAACATCAATTGATAGCATTTTCTGATGCAAAGAAAGAACAAACAC